TCTCTTTCGCCGTTGATTCGTTGTCTTTTTTTGTGCGATATTTTGGTTGATTTGATTGCCAATGTTATCCAGAGATGCTGTGGCAGTTTCATGAATCAAATCGGCAACAATCGAATCGTTCTCTATATTAATATGAATTGCTTCGACTTCTGGACCATCAATTTCTTTGATTTCATCAAATTCACTCGTCGCTCGACCTGCTTCATTTTTTCCGATCATTCCCTTCGTTGTTCCATCGCTGATTGTGCCATTTCCAATGTTCACTTCGCTCAGGTCACTTTCTGTCGTCACACTAGGCAATAACTGTGGCTCATCCATGGCATTATTCACATCTAGACGATCGGTGACTTCATTTATCTCTTCACGTGCCACTGCTGTAATCGCTTCAATCGCTGGTTGATTTCTCGTCACTTCCTGAGCTTCTTTGCCATTCATTTCATTGTCGATGGTGTCTGACAGTTCCACGGTATTTTCAGGAATCAAATCGATGCGTTCGTCACCGGTCGTATCGTTTGGTAGATCGATGTGTATCGGTTCGTCTTCTTGTGCATCCACTGCTTTGATTTCATTCAATTCACCGATGGCTGGACTTACTTCGTCTGTCGTCATTGATTCGTTTGTTGTTCCTTTGTTCGATGCGTCATTTCCAGTATTGTCTTCACTCTCGTCAATTTCATTGGTTGTGGTTGGCATTGATTCTGTCTCATCCATGGCCCCATTCGATGCTGTGTGATTGACGAGTACATTGACCTCTTGGCTTGTCTTCGGATCGTTCGCTGGCTGATTCGATATGATGATTGTCACACAAATAGCGCTCCCATTTCCTCGTCCATTGCCCTGTGTTATTTTGTACGTTGACTGAGCAGTGCCACGCTCTGGCCGACGACAGCTACACAATCCGTTGATCACAGTCTCACCGCTTGCATCGGTGGTCATCTTGTTGGTGTTCAAATTGTGATTTGGCGGAGCATTTTGGTCTGAAACTTCAACGAACTGCTTTTCCAACTTGACTTTATTGAGGAATAGTTCGTACGCTTTGGCGATTCTGTGAAAAGAACAACATGGACACAATTGTTTTAGTCAAATGGTCAAAGATTGGCGTTGAAATACATAAACAAAACACTCAAAAGTTGAGAATAAAGTTTCCTCACCGTTCAATCGATGCTTGAAAGAAGTATTCCTTGAAATTATCGCCAAATGACAGTCGGCTGCATTGAAATGCAGTGTGCACCAATCGTAGCGTTGCTTCCGCTTCATATTGGATGTTGATGCAATATTTGTCTATCGTCTGTTGCCAATTTCCACTCATCATCACTGAAAATACACAAACATTCACGACATTCGATTAGATTTCGCTA